ATGTACATGACGGAGTTATGGTTAGTCTGGAAAAGGGAAAGAAGTATTATTATCAGGTAATTTTTTCAGTCTTGTTTTTTGGAAAAAAATATTTTTATGTTCGGATTGACAATAAGTTATAGTATGAGTTTAAGTTCTCTCCACGGTGCGAAAAGCATTTACACAATCATGTAATTGCATGTATCAAATTGTAAGTTACAACATGTTAAATTGCACTGATAGTGTAAAAGAAATTCGTTACATTTCAGTGTACATAACTTAAATCCAAGTTATATTAACTACTTGAGATAAAATCTTATTACACCTAGTTGTAGTTGCAGTAATTTACTTTTTTCAATTGAGAGAGATGGTTGAGTGAACTAAAGCAGTGGAATGCTAATCCAGTAATCCGTTTTACCAGTTAATCGTACTGAGGGTTCGTATCCGCCTCTTTGCTTTGATGACGTGTTCATTTTTCTCAGATTTTAGGAAACTCTTCATTTCCATAAATTATTTACTAGTATTAGAATGAAATCGTTCTGAATAGAGCAAACCTCATATACATGATTGATAGTACAGCTAGTTTGGCATTGGTGTGGTGTTGATGCTATGTTCAGATAGATTATTTAGATTCATAGATTGTGGAGCTCTCTTCTGACCCTAAGGGCTAACTGGACACACTTGAAAGAGGGGGACAAAGATACAAAAGTTTGTTAATTTAATTTCTCAAAATCCAAATTTTCCATGTTTGTACTATTGGTTCTTGGGTAGGTTCAGAGGGTTTTTAGGGGGTGGGGTGGATGGGGGTGGGATTAGCTTTACTGTATCCAATACACTAATGGTTCTGAAAGCGTAGAATTTGATCCTTGCTCCATCTGGTCAGATGATCAATGTCCGGGCCAGAAACCTCAAGTCTCATTGACACTCCACCCCCATCAAGAAAACCTTAATGCTTGTCATTTTACTACCGTCTCTCTTTTTTCTGAAAGCTTCATTAGTAAATGTGTGGTTTACTATAACACATAAACCAACCTCTCTGCTTTTGTTTATTGCTAACCCTATTTCAATATGATCACGTAATTTCAACACTCGTAAAAGAGGTCACTCCAGGTCCTTAATGAAAGAGTGAAAGTTGAAATTGACTTTATCATGAGATATCTTTACGGATGGATATTTATTATAAGAGTACTTCTTCGCTCTAGCTTCAAACTTATTTTATTTTTACCTTTTCTTACGAAGCAATGTCCCTTTATACACTTCTCTAGACCTCTTCCGTGTCTTTGCTTTAGAGTTCGCACTCAGAGAATAGCATTGTCGGAGAGCAAGCTAATTTTCTTCTTACATGTACCTATATATTCTGCATTTCTTTAATTCATTAGCAAATTTATTTTCTTGGTAAGAGTTATGCTTTTACATGTAGTGGGAGGTTTGAGCAGTACACAGGTCGGTGAAGTTTTGGTTTGTGATACTGATTGTACTCACATGATAGAAAGGTTCAGGGGCTTTTAGTGACTGTACAATAGGGCGACGCATGGTGGAATCATTTCCTTTGGTGATGAGCTAGTTCATGCATGTAATCTTTGTACTGGAATACATAGAGCCCCCAGAAATAAAATTTTCATCGACTTCAGAACTATCCGCTATAGTTGAAACATCCTCTATTTAAGAATTTTTCGAAAGTTCTACTAATCTAAACTCCATCCATACAAAATCAGCTTTTTGATCCTTATTCACTATTAGAGGTAATTACAATAATTTAGAAAACTAGAAATCTTCCATTTCGTGAAGGATGTAACAGTTGACACTGTTTATATCTCTAATGATGTATTACCATACAGGTTGGCAGTGATTCAGGGGGTTGGAGCACCATTTACAGTTTTGTGTCACAAAATGGAGACTCTGGTGAAACATTTGCTTTCTTGTTTGGAGACATGGGGACTGCTACACCATACTTGACATTTCTTCGTACACAGGATGAAAGTTCATCAACCATTAAGTGGATTAGCCGTGATATTGAAGCTCTTGGTGATAAGCCTGCTCTTATCTCACATATTGGAGATATCAGCTATGCAAGAGGATACTCTTGGTTGTGGGATAACTTTTTTTCTCAGGTAGAACCTCTTGCATCCAGAGTTCCGTACCATGTATGCATTGGCAACCATGAATATGATTGGCCACTTCAACCTTGGAAGCCCGACTGGTCAAGCCGTCTATATGGGACAGATGGGGGAGGTGAATGTGGTGTACCTTACAGTCTTAAGTTCCATATGCCTGGAAACTCTTCAGAGCCGACTGGAATGCGTGCTCCCGCAACTCGGAATCTTTATTTTTCATTTGATTCTGGGCCAGTTCACTTTGTCTATATGTCAACTGAAACCAATTTCCTTCCGCGTAGTAACCAATATGACTTTTTAAAGCATGACTTGGAATCAGTTGATCGAGTAAAGACTCCTTTTGTCATCTTTCAAGGGCACAGGCCAATGTACACAACAAGCAATGAAAAAAAAGATGCCCCTATAAGGGAGAGAATGCTCGCGCATTTGGAACCTCTTCTTGTGAAGAACCATGTGAATCTTGTATTGTGGGGGCATGTACATAGGTACGAGAGGTTTTGCCCTTTGAATAACTTCACCTGTGGAAGCTTGAGCTTGGATGGGGAGGAACGGAAGGCTTTTCCGATGCACGTCGTGATTGGGATGGCTGGACAGGACTGGCAGCCTATCTGGGAACCAAGAGTGGACCACCCTACTGATCCTATTTACCCACAGCCCCTGCAATCTCTGTACCGCGGGGGTGAATTTGGATACATGAGGCTACATGCCACAAAGGAAAAACTAACACTTTCTTATGTAGGAAACCATGACGGGGAGGTGCATGATACAGTGGAGATCCTAGCTTCAGGTCAAGTTCTGAATGGTGGTGGTAGCCATGACGGTCGTGCGACAATGGAAGAGATGGAGTCTAATTTTTCATGGTTTGTAAAGGTTGGAAGTGTACTTGTGCTTGGAGCTTTTATGGGTTACATAGTTGGGTTCATATCTCATGCTCGGAAAAATGCTGCTGGTGAAGGCTGGAGACCAGTAAAAAGTGAGGAAATATGATTAGCTTATTCAGATTGTGAAATTTGGCGATGCTCAAGTCTTTACAGCCATCTGCATTGTGTTAGTCTGCATGTTGCCAGATAAATGAACTCTAGTCAAGATGATGCTTTAGCTGGTAACTGTTAGTTAGAGAGAGAGAGAGAGAGAATGCATGGTCTAATAAATTCTGCATTCTGCACACCTACTGTAAATAGATATGGAAATTCTTCTTCTCCTTGGTCTGATGGCTACTACTGTATGAGGATTAATTAGAAACTTAAAGCCTTGTGTTTCAGGATTTTAGATGTAATTGAAGGATCTCTATTTTAACATGTTAGACTTGCTTGGAAGAATTATTTGTCCAATTTAATCGAATAATTTAAATCTATGTAACTGAACTCATATCAGACAACAATGCTGATTTTAGCTTTGGTCAATAAAAATGACCCTTCTAAGGTCTCCACATCCACAGTATACAGTTTTCTGAACATTTTCCAACTTATGCTTTTGACTAACTGCCCCATAGCACAGGGTACTTATGATGTTTCCTTTTTCTTTTCTACGCTGGATGATTTAGAGCCATCATTTATATTTTTTGACTACTTTAAGAATTTTTTAAAAAAAAATAGTTTCACGTTAAAATTTTCAAGTACCAGAAATTCTTGCATTGTCCTTTTCTGATGTGAGCTATTTTCCAAAACTTTTCTGAATAGGGTCAAAATTGCAAAAAAAAAAATGACACTTCTTGAACTTTTGACTTATGATTACCCAGAACTTCAAGGTCAGTTATAAGTGTTACCCATTAGGGCTGCTTATTGGGCGGTTAATTACTCTTAACGATTTGGCTTAACGGTTATCGGTTTTTAAATGTATTAATCCGATATCGGGCGGATTGGTATCGATTTAGCTCTTATCGGGCGGTTATTGGGCGGTTTATCGGCCTAATTCAATCTATATTGCGTGTATNTCGGTTTTGATTTGGTTTTGGACATCCCTATTACCCATGGAGCAAGGAAAGGTAACACGTTTCAATGGGGCCCATGACGCTCTTTTCAGGTACAACGGCCCAACAAATTTTGCATAAGAACTGAAATACTCCAACACCGCATTTGCTTCAATAACAAAGAACAAAGAAAAAAAAGAGTTTCAACAAAAGAAATTCATTTTTTAGAAACTATTTTCGACCAACATGAAGAAAGAAAAGCTTTTCAAAATTTACAATAGCTACAAAACATTGAAAAACTACTTTTACAAAAACTGAAAAAAAAACCTCGTGCATTTAAGATAGGGGTAATATGAAGTTGTTTGAGTTTATGTAATAGTCCAGCACACTAGTGATATTATCCGCTTTGGGCTTAAGCTCGCATAATTTTAAAATATGTCACGAGGGTGATTACTTATATTTCCAAGCATCTCTCATATATTTGTCGATGCGGGATTTGCCTGGGGTGTTGCCCCATTACCATTCAAGATTGCACGCGGAGTGACTCTAATATTATATGTAACAGCCTAACTCACTAGATATTGTCCGCTTTGAGTCTAGACCCGCACGACTTTAAAACATGTCATTAGGGTCTAAAGCATATTTGCTTATCTTTTCCGTGTTTTGTTGATGTGAGATTCATTTATTTGTTCTTTGCAAGAGTTTTGATGTTTTGTCGATAGGATTGCTGGTGCCATAGGATAGTTATGGTGCCTTTGTTTTTTACATATTATTGGTGATTAATAATATTTTTTAATTTTCAGAAAAAAAAACTGAAAAAAAATTCTTTCTTGTAGGGTTGTAGAAAAAAAGAGAAGAATTTCTAACCTACGCATTGTCAAATATGTCTATACTAGCAAGGTGTTGCCCGTGCACATCACGAGCCCAACATAAATAATTACAGTAGATTGGATAATTTGGCTCTGCTCTTGCGATCTTGAAGGCATTTACATTGATCATCCAGTAGAAATCCTTGTTGCATCAATTATTCTCAAGTCTAATGCATATAAGACCATGCGGTCCATTTCAACTGACCAAACCAAGAGAGTTATTTTCTTCAAATAAGAGATACAATACAAGGTTTATCAAAATTAGCTCCTTAACAATCATCATGGCCAACTTTCAGACTTTCAATTACAAATTTGTAACTGCTAGAGTTCTTTTCATTCTCTTGACATGCTGAGTATGTTGCCATGGTAATGTTTCGGAGGACCATTTTGGGGGATGACCGACTTGCTGCTCCAAAGTAGACTAACACAAGTCCTCATTACTATTTTCTAATGCTGCAAGTCCTCATTATTATTTTCCAATGCTGCAAGTCCTTGCCTCTCTTGAGGCTTCTCCAAAGTTAATTGACCGATAAGCATGCCTGTGTCTAGTCTCGAGCTAAGATTCCAACTTTCCAACTTTTCCAGGATCAAATTTGATGCAGTGATGCATTGAAGCATACTGCAAGCATCATAATCCTTTTTGATTGGCTAATTCGCACATATAAGTATTTCTTAAACTTTAGCAAATGCGCCCACTGGATGACCATCCTTTTCTTCAAAACAGGACAAGTCAACACGGACTACTGGAGCAGCAGCATCCATATGTGGAGAAAGAATGTTTATCCCGAGCATAATAGTAAATTGTATCAAGCTTCTATATAGAGAGAACATTAAAAAAAATAGAAAAGTGAATCTAAAAGAATAACGATACTTCTGCTCTGAAGTCTTTTGGAAAATGAGCTTTAGCATCCCACAATGTGTCAATTTTTACGGTAAAGTATCAGAACTTTTTACCTAATAAAAGGTGTGCTAAACGTGATTCGAAATACCTACCAAAACATGATAAAAAGGAAAGTGTGTTAGAGTTTTCAGCTGTTAACCATTTCACTTTTCCCTTTTATTTTATGACAGAATCCTCTGCCTTTATAGATGAATAAATTCTGCAGCAGATTTGTCTAACTGATTTCTTATTTTTGAACTATTTTTCTTTATAAATATTTTCTCAAGTTGTTGTATTTTACTCTCTCCAGTGTGAGGTGATATTTTGGTACTCCAATATTATTATAAAGCTGCATGTTTATTAAGAAAAGTGAGCTAGATCAGTGAGCTAAGAATTGATTCACAGTTCTCCCAGGCCCCAAGAAGTAAACAAGGAAAGTTTTGATTTCACAGTATGATACTCAACCTGCTGGCTTAAGCATTATATAAAGCAGTCATGACAATTGTTAAAAATTCCAAATTACTGATAAAATGAGAGATACACAAGCTTTAACATAACAAAAAAGGCATACATAAGGGACTCAAGATATTACCACATTTCTTCATGCAACATCATTCTATGACAGAACACTACCTTAGAACTATAGCCTTTAAAATATCAAAGCTACATATGCAACGACTAACAAAAGAAAAGCAAGCAAATGCCTTCAGTAGACACCTAATAAACTTGCCAGATATACAGAGGCTACACACTTTATTTAATTCTGCAAACTCTAAAATTAATGTAATTTACTCACCCTTAAGAGTAAGTACTCTGAATGCTAAATGTGTCGCTTCCTATCGTGAACTCCCCCTGAAGAATTGCACTGAAATGCTTGATTATTTCCGCCAAGCTTGGTTGGGATTTAAAGTAATCCAGTACGTACAATTTTAGTAGGCGTATAATTACACAATGAAAATACCTAATCAAATCATTCCTAATTGATGTAAAACTGTAATATTTTAACAAACTGAAGCAAGAGTAAATTTGTTTTAGAAGAGTCAATATTAATTACAATAGGGAAGTTATAAATGTAGGTATAGAATTTACCCATGGCATAAATTTTGTAGGCTCCAAGTCCCCCAAGGTTGATACAATGCCTTATACTTATGTGCCGTCTCCTGTAAATACTGTACATACTGAACTACCTCCACACAAACTTCAAGCTCACCAATAAACCTAAACTTCAAAGAATAAAAGGATAAATAGTTTTCTTTCTAAAATGTACCTGCAATAAGAATGGCGTGGCATCTCCATTAAACAACAACAGATGAGTAATATCTTGAATTAACAAAGCATGATTAGTTGAGTAGCTAAACTAATTATAAGTTTAGCCATCTATTAAATACTATTTATCATTGTATTTTATACATGACCAGATTTTCTTCTTCCAAGGGGCTTTCTAATGTGAAAATCAGTGGAGTCCATCTCAGGTTATCCACCACTATGCCGTCAGAAGACCCTGCAGAAGTTAAAAATCCTAATAAACCCAGTTTACAAAAAGAAAAAGTTTACACCCCAAAAAAAGGTATTTTTTTTCAAAAACGTTTTTCATAACAGAGCTGGAGAAAGTCAACATCCCATTTTGTTCTAAAACATTTCCATGAGAAATCCCTAACCCACAACCCTAACTCCTTTTTAGAACTCAGGTAACTGAAGATTTTTCGCTAATTTTCCAATGTATACTAAATTCTGCTCCAAAAACCTGTCATTTAAGCTGAAATAAAAAAAGTAGTACTAATTGTTTACCTCAAATTGGAAATGGAGAAAAAATTTATTGCTCCAAAAGGGATGCCACAAATCTGTCAAATTCAAGCTCATCGCAATATTGAAATCGAATAAAAGAGAATACTGATAATTCAATAGGTTAAAATCCTAAAATCCTTAAGCTTGCGACAAATTTTCAATATAAATCCAAAAGTTCAATAGTTTTTGATTTTGCCAAAATTGTCTTATTCTATTGTTACCTTGAGTTGGTGTGGCTGAGTCGCCACTGCAATCGCCATATCCCCCTACCTTTATATATGTCAGAGAGAGCGCGAGAGAGAGAGGAACAAGAAAGTTACAGACGAAGATAAAGGAAAGCAGTGGTAAGATGAAGCGATAGTAAGAGAATAGCGCAATGTTTCTAATTTTTCAAAGCCCTTTCCGTCTCTGAAGCATCTGAGAGTCTGAGGGGCAAAATTGGAATAAACTGAATTTTGTGGTTTTTTGGTAAACTCACATTGACCAGAAGCTCCTCTCGCTTCTCGCTTATTAATACTAGTAACTAGTAATATATGTAGTCACATACTCCCTCCGTTTCAATTTATATGAACTCATTTGATTGGGTACGAAATTTAAGAAAAGAGAGAAGACTTTTGAATTTGTGGTATAAAATGAGTCAAATATATTTTGTGTGGCTATAAATTATTACATAAAAGTAAATTATTTTCAAATAAGGAAATATATCATTCTTTATGGCACGGACTAAAAAAAAAATAGGTTCACATAAATTAAAACGGAGGGAATACATTATTTTATTCTCGTCTTTATGGATACTTTTTCTGTTTCGAAAATTCATTTATGAGAAAAATACATTACAGAGCATCTTTCAAAAAGTATTTAAGAAAATGATACTAATTCTTGTTTATTCCATATATAGCATATTATATTACAATTTTAGCACATGATAAAGGTTTTGTGCACAATTAATGAGTAACACAAATTATGGGATCAGTTTTATCCTTATTTATCTTTTTACATTCTCTCTCCTACTATTTTCTATTCTATTTTAGTTGCTTGATTTAGCATTCAAATCTCTCTCTCTCTCTCTCTCTCTCTCTCTCTCTATTCTAAATTTCTTTCCTTTAATTTAGCATTCAAATATTCTTTGAATATTTGTAGTACTTTGAATATTTATATGAGTAGTATAAATAAAATATGTCATATATATTG